TCTGAAAATTCCCGAATTTCTTCCTCAGAAATGGGAATTTTTGGGGCATCCTGAGGCCGGGAGCGCTTCCCGGGAGGAATTGYGGTGCAAAAAGCCGGGAGAAATCCTTTGGGACGGGGAAATCCCACCGGGAATTGAGGAATTGCGGGAGGAGCAGCTGGAGTGGGTGGGGGAGAGAGGATTTTTCGGGAAAGGATCCCCCGGGTTTTTTTGGGATTTTTTTTTTTGGTTTTTTGGGGTTTGGGGGAGGTCCCGGGGGTGCAGTGGTTCTGGCGGGGTCCTGGCGTCCTTAAATTAGTGGGGTTTTACCGGGCGGACACGTTGTTATTTGAGAGTCCCCGCCAGTGATTGAACTTCTGCTCCGTCTCGTCGCTGAACGAGCCACCTGCGGGGACAGCAGGGATTGAGGGAACAATGGGGACATGGGGACATGGGGACAATGGAGACACAGGGACGTGAGGACACGGGGACAGCGGGATTGAGGGGACAGCGGGATTGAGGGGACGGGACAGGGACATGGGGACAGGGACATGGGGACAGCGGGACTGAGGGGACAGCGGGGATTGAGGGGACAGCGGGGACAATGGGGACAGCGGGATTGAGGGACATGGGGACAATGGGGACACGGGGATTGAAGGGACAGGGACATGGGGACAATGAGGACAACAGGATTGAGGGGACAGTGGGGACACGAGGACAGGGACATGGGGACAGTGGGGACAATGGGGACACGGGGATTGAGGGGACACGGGGACAGGGACATGACAGTGGGATTGAGGGGACAATGGGGATTGAGGGGACAGTGGGGACACGGGGACAATGGGGACAGTGGGGATTGAGGGGACAGAGAGGACAATGGGGATTGAGACGATTGAGGGGACAGTGGGGATACGGGGACAGGAACATGGGGACAGCGGGATTGAGGGGACAATGGGGATTGAGGGGACATGGGGACAATGGGGACAGTGGGGACACAGGGACAGGGACATGGGGACAATGGGATTGAGGGGACAGTGGGGACCACGGGGACAGGGACATGGGGACACGGGGATTGAGGGGACAGTGGGGACACGGGGATTGTTGCACATCCAGATGTGGCGGGGGAGGAGAATTTTTCTGGGGTCAAATCCCTGCAATTGTGGTGGCACCGGGACGGCACCGGGGATTTTTGGGAAAGGGAAAATTTGGAATTCCTGATCC